CCCAGAGTGCTAGGATTACAGGCGTGAGCCACCGCGCCCGGCCGAATGTTTTTTAAATAGATAAATAAAAATACAAATAAGCAAACAATAAATAAAATAGTTTACATACACAAAAAAGCTAGAATCCAAGTGTGACCATTTGGCATTGTTTTGAAAACCAAGCAAATACCCAGTTACATAAAGACACTTAAAAATGGGTATAAAGTCCGGGCACAGTGGCTCACGCCTATAATCCTAGCACTCTGGGAGGCAGAGGCCGGAGGATCGCTCGAGGTCAGGAGTTCGAGACCAGCCTGAGCAAGAGTGACACCCCATCTCTACTAAAAATAGAAAAAAAATTAGCCAGGCGTGGTGGCATGCACCTATAGTCCCCGCTACTCAAGAGGTTGAGGCAGGAGGATCCCTTGAGCCCAGGAGTTCTAGGTTGCAGTGAGCTGTGATCGTTGACACTGCACTCCAACCTGGGTGAAAAAGTGAGACCCTGTCTCAAAAAAAAAAAAAAAAAAGACTACTTCAGTTTCACAGGTATGAGGGCTAGAAGCTTGAGATGGCTTCATATAAACAACTAAAAATCCCCAGAACTAAAAAAGAAATCAGCAAGAGTTGCTTGTGGTGTGCCATGCAGACAGAAGACGTGAAAGTCACTGGGTTTGCTGTGTGGGCACCAGGCCCAGTTTTAGAGAGCTAAGAAGGAACTGACAACCCCTCACACACACCTAAATGTGCCTGGACACTGGCTGCAGATGCATGATGGTCTATCCCCAAAGTGGGGACCCCTTCTGTCTGAACCAGCATTTTCTTTCATATTCTCACCAAGTCTAGATGCCTTGGGGTATACCCTGGGGTTCCTGCAGCCCCTTGGAAGGGACTCCCCCAATTCTGGCAAGCCAAGGATACCAAAGGTCCTCAGTGGATGCAGAGCTGAAGCCAGGCCATAGGTTCTTCTGCCACAAGTCCTGCAGAGCACGCATGCATGCGTGAGCCTTGCAGCAGAGGCCAACCACCCCCATGGGACAGAAGACCCAGGCAGGACTCAGGCAGGGGCACCTGGGACTCAAGAAAGGTCCTCTTTATCCTGAATCCATGCCCCCTAAAGTTGACGTTTGCCAAAGAGGTGTCACTTTGTCCCACTCCCAGCCGACAGGCCTGTTTGGCTACTTGGGTGGCAGAGTAGGGACCTAAGTAAGTGCAGAATGAGAGCAGCAATGCTGCTCCTGTGAGAGCTCAGGCCTCCAGCTAGAGACCAGGAGGGGCCATGTACACCCTGCACCACTGAGGGGCCATACACACCTGCACCACTGAGGGGCCATACAAGGCTGACTGTTGGCAGTACTGGGCTGGAGCACTGGCCTGGTCCAGTCATGCCTCTAGTCGCTCACACTTCTGACGGGTGCACAGGTCATGGGAGCACTAACCTGCTCAACTCCAACTCTGTACTTGCCACATCTCACTTTCCTTAAACTAAATGCAAACTTTAGAAGATTTTCCAGAAGAATCTCAAACCACCTGATGCTTTACTTTTCCTCTAAAAATGCATGTATAGGTTGCCCCACTATTATTTAAGTATTTGGTTATATCAATGACATATTACATTCTTAATGTATTACTTTAGCTGTTCCATGTGTAAATCAATTTACCTACCCAAGTTTTGTGAGACAAAGATGATCATTTCTAATTGCTTTCTCTCTTCCCACAAGTCTAATAATTGTGGACATTTTTAAAACTTAAACTTAGTATAAAATACTATTTCTGCAAATCATGCTGAAATAAGCAATTACTGCACATCTAAATAGTAGGGCTAGTTAAGGAACAGTAAGAAGGCTGGAGATGAGAAACACCAAGTGCAAAAGAGAAAGATGGAAAAACAGCCCAAAAAACACAATACCTTTAAGTTTGGTATAGTTGTGAAGGAGTGGATCTGCAGAAACCATGCAAGGCCACCAAGGGTAACCCGACACTTTGGACCACACCAAATCACCGATGTTATATTTCAACAGATGTTCTTTGTCTCTGCCAGTGTTTGGGCAGGACTCTTTCTTAACTGGAATCTGAAAATGAACAACAAAAGACAAATACTAACATATCTAATAACTACCCCTAAATCTAGCCTTCTATCCATACAAAGACCCAAGATTAATCAGGCTGGAGGCTCAAAACACATATAGATCCCCCAAAAAGGAGCATGCAGTCCTTGCTGTGTTTTAGATAATAGCCCCATTATCACCTCTTGGAAACCGTCTGTGTCTCTCACCCTCAGCTAAAGGGTCAGCACAGTGTCTGGCCCACACGGGTGTTCAACACTACAAGGATCTCTCTATAAATCTACTCCCTTGGCCTGGTGGACGGTCTTTAATGGTTCTTTATTCAACTGGTCAAAGAGGAATTCTCACAGAACTCCGAATTTTTACTGCCCCCTGCGCCCGGGCACATGTCTGACCATCAGTTCTCAGAAGTACATGTGTCACCTGACACGAAGGTGTGAATGTGGTAAGGCCAGGGCTGGATCAAGCCCTGGCCTCACCACTTGTGATCTGAGTTCTCGGGCTCTGTGAGGCTCAGTTTCTCCATCTCTGACACATGAATAGTTTATGAGGCTGAACATCCTGCCATGGGCAAACTCCTTCCCAAGCCACTCTTGGTTCTGCTCTCCAGTGGGAATAAGCGTACCAGCAGGGCCCTGACCTCTCTGAGGGTAAATTCCTACCCCTCCTTCTAAGTGCACTATGTACTTAGGCAAGCTACTGAACTGCTGTGGGCCTCAGTTTCCTCATCTCTGAGCTGAGGATACCAACCCTGAAATCTCACTGGCAGTCACAAAGATCTGTGGGTATGCTGTTGAAGGCTGGCTTGAGTTGCCACATTACACACCTTCAGGGTTACATTTATTGTCCCCACTGTGTAGGTGGAAGTCAAAATTCACGTGATTTATCCAAGTTTTAACAAAACCAAGGGGCAGAGCTAGGAATAAAAGCCAGGTCTCTGACAATTTGCACAAGCCTCTTCCCCTGTAAAAGCATTAAGTTTGGCTAGGTGCAGTGGCTCACGCCTGTAATCCTAGCACTCTGGGAGGCTGAGGTAGGAGGATCGTTTGAGCTCAGGAATTCGAGACTGGCCTGAGCAAGGGTGAGACCTCGTCTGTACTAAAAAAAAAATAGAAAGAAATTAGCTGGACAACTAAAAATATATAGAAAAAATTAGCCGGGCATGGTAGTACATGCCTGTAGTCCCAGCTACTTGGGAGGCTGAGGCAGAAGGATTGCTTGAGCCCAGGACTTTGAGGTTGCCATGAGCTAGGCTGACGCCACAGCACTCTAGCCCGGGCAACAGAGTGAGACTCTGTCTCAAAAAAAAAAAAAAAAAAAAAAAAAAACCACTTTTTTTTAAACCCCCAAACCTCTTCATTATTTTACTGATTTCAAGGAAATTCCACTCATTCCCCATCTGTGGAAACTCTAAAGTTCCTCGATTACAATTTTAAATTTAATAACCCAACCATGGTGACAATGTCAACTCCCACTGGTCTCAGGCTCCCTTGTCCCCACCCCTCCAAGTGGGCCTGGAGCTGTGGTTAAAGACCAACACCCTCTAGACCATCATCCAGACAGAGAGAGGAGGCTGCTGCCCTGTACCTATTTCCTTCTGCCAAGGCCAAGGTCCCTTGGCTATCGTATATGGCTTATACTCATTTAAATGTCAGGGCCATCCAGAGTGTCACTTTAAGACACCATGACACCAACCACCACGCAGAATGGAGCAAAACCACGAGGTCCATCCATCTTAAGTTAGGGCTCTCCTTCCCAGCCTTTGATTAGTCAGTACTCATTTGCTTGTTTATGTTCAACATGCTGGGCTCATGAAAGCATAAGACATAGCCCCAGTCCTCAAGGAGGCAGGCCATCTGCTAGACCACCTGGCTGAAGAGATACGTAAGTGGATAGTGGACCCGTGTGCGAGGACAGCAAGAGTACCTCTGCATAGCACCACTCTGTTTCCCACTCATTAGACAGTGCAGGCTTAAGGAGTCTCACACTAGAGCCCAGTGTGTCTCCACTGACCACATCAGGCCAAAGAATGCCTTGAAGATGAGGTCCATGAGAACAGCATAGTCATAAGTCATCAAGCAAGGGCTCTGGAACTAGCAGGCCGAGAGTCAGAAACTGGTTTTGCCTCTTTTTGGCCAGTAATCCTGAACTCGTAGTTAACCTCTCTAGGCCTCTCAATAGGCTCAGCAGCTGGCTGTGAGGCCTAAGGAGGCAACGCCAGAGCATCCTGGAGCCTGATGCCTGACCCACAGCCAGGGCTCAGTCAAGCACTGACAGCACCAGGCCATTCCCATCTCCTCCACCCACCATTGCACTCATGCAGGTGCCCTCACACGGTCCCCATGCTCACTGCTCACCGTCACATGACCCTAGTCAGAATTCCTCATAAATACCTTTTTATCGGAAGGACTTGAGATCTTAGACACTAGGGCTGCTTCGACAAGGCCCTGCTCCAGTAAGGAATCATACTTTACACTCCTCTTCCTGTTCCTCCTCGCCTTGTTCTCTGGTTTTTGTCCATTTTCTCCTGACTGGGACACATCAGCACTGTCACCACAGATGGAAGATTCAAAGAGAGGTTTCCCATTCATGTATGTTTTGGTGATTTTAAGCTTAATTTCTGGAGAGCCATTTTTGACAGGGGTAGTGCTAGGTGGTGTCCCCATTCCTTTCATTTCCTGGGGTTCAAAACGCAATTTGGCATCATGAGTGCCCGGTTCTCCATTAAATACACGGGAAGTAAGATCCTTCAACTTCTCAGCTGGAATAAAGGGAAGTGCATCGTGGCCATTAAACTTCTGCATGACACCCTCCTGCAGACTGTTAGAAAGCTGGGCTTTGCTGAGGAACACCGAACACTCGCGATTCACTTCACAGCTCTGAGTCTTTCCATTTGTATTGCCAAGGATTTCTGGTGCCTGCTTCATCTTAATGCACTTTACAACTTTCTGAACAGAAAGAGGATTTTTTTTGATGCTAAATTCCATCTAGCCCAGATGCTTCTGTTCTTAGAACGCTACAGTATTAAAAAAGAAGAAAAAAAAGAAAAAGCAACATATTACATTTAAACCTAGAATAAGTATGCCAACACATGTACAGCTTTTGGGGTTTGGAGTTTTTTTTTAAGCAATTTATGATGTTTTATATAATGATCTAGGTTGCAGGAGGCAGGTTTTTTTTTTTTTTTTTTTGAGACAGAGTCTCACTCTTTTGCCTGGGCTAGAGTGAGTGCCGTGGCGTCAGTCTAGCTCATAGCAACCTCAAACTCCTGGGCTCAAGCGATCCTTCTGTCTCAGCCTCCCGAGTAGCTGGGACTACAGGCATGAGCCACCATGCCCGGCTAGTTTTTTCTATATATTTTTAGTTGTCCAATTAATTTCTTTCGGTTTTTAGTAGAGACGGGGTCTCACTCTTGCTCAGGCTGGTTTCGAACTCCTGAGCTCAAAACAATCCGCCCGCCTCGGCCTCCCAGAGTGCTAGGATTACAGGCGTGAGCCACCGCGCCCAGCCCAGGAGGTAGTTTTAATATCACAACAATGACACAGAATCACAAAATGATAAAGCTAAAAGGAAAGACAAGGAATCATCTTTATTTATTTATTTATTTATTTTGAGACAGAGTCTCACTCTGTGGCCTGGGCTAGAGTGCCATGGCGTCAACCTAGCTCACAGCAACCTCAAACTCCTGGGCTCAAGCGATCCTCCTGCCTCAGCCTTCCAGGTAGCTGGGACTACAGGCACACGCCACGATGCCTGGCTAATTTTTTCTATTTTTAGTTGTTTGGCCAATTTCTTTCTATTTTCAGTACAGACAGAGTCTCGCTCCTGCTCAGGCTGGTCTCGAACTCCTGAGCTCAAACAATCCGCCCGCCTCAGCCTCCCAGAGTGCTAGGATTACAGGCGTGAGCCACCGCATCCAGCCTGGAATCACCTTTAAAAGGGAGAACACACCAGTCAAGGATGGCAAACTCCAGTTTGCACTATAACTAGTAGTCAGCGTGGCCATGGATGCGTGATTTAACCTGTCCAGTCACTGCTGAAAAGCTGATTATCACCTGCCCACTAGTACAGTATACACTTCAAAGAACCACTGTGTGTGAGGCAGCTAACACAATGTCGGGCCTGCGCCGGACAATAGGGAGGTGCTTGAAAGCAAAATAAACACCAACAGGAAAAGAATTCGTGCCAGGCTCAGCTCCATGCCCAGGATCACCTAATCAACATGTCTAAAATCAGATCTTCCAACCCCAACATAGCCTTAGCCCCAGATTGATGAAAAAAGAAACAAGAAGCCAAGAGTGACCAAGTACAAAAGCACCCGGGGTCAGTTCTAGTTTGTGCTCAAACTAGCATTCTAATCTCTGTCCCCCAGCCCCTCCTCATTCAGGCCCAAATTAAACACCACAAGGAACACTGCAGTAACATTAAATTTTATTTAGCTATCACGTGAAGATTAACTAGTCGAGGGCAACACTGCTGAGCCGTAACAGGCACTACTCTACAACATGGAGAAAACAGCCAACGTGCCACACTGGCCATATGGAGGCCCAAGTGAAGAAGGGGGTAGTTTTAGAAAGACCCCTCTGGATGCAGTGTGATGATGTGGAGTCTTCACTGTGAAGCTACAGTCTCCAATCTGAGACACACAGTGAAGGGGACAGAGCTAGAAATCAGGAACAGGCAAGCACCCACCCCAGATGGGGAGACATCTCCCAGTGTCTCCATCACAGACTCCATCCAATGAGACCCCTCTGAGAAGGCAGCAACCAATGACATCAGACATTGGGGAAAAGTTGAGAACAATAAGGAACAGGGATGCCCAGGGATGTTCCTGGGGATTTTTAGCCCTGTCTGGAAACACTTCTGATTATCACCACTTGAGAGCTGCTGCTGACATCAGAGTAGGGTCTTCTTCCAGCTCATATCAGACCAACTATCCCACAGGTAAAAACTATACACCCTGGACAAAATATGAAAAACTACCTGAAGGCACCAAAAGTAACCAAAAGCAGAAAGAAAATGGATGGAGTCAACTCTTGAAAGAAACTGAACAACACTGGCTGAACTCAGTTTTTAGATTTGTGCCTGAGGAGAGTTTGAAGCAACTGTAACAGGTGTAAAAGGAAGGGGGAAACCTCAAAAAGGAGAGTCCCAGAATGAGAATTCCAAATTCAGCATATAAATTCTGCCCAAATTCCAGGCTGACACACATATGGGGCAGATTCCAAGCAGCCTAGCTTATAAATAACTGAAATGAGGTTCCAGCTGCTGGACAAAAACAAAGCAAAAAGCACTCTTAAAAGAAATATACGGGCCAGGCGCGGTGGCTCACGCCTGTAATCCTAGCACTCTGGGAGGCCAAGGCGGGCGGATTGTTTGAGCTCAGGAGTTCGA